TTTTGACATTCATTATATTACTGATGAAATCTTGTAGATTATAATTATTATAGTAATTGTGGTAAATAATTAGCTCAAAACTGCTACATTTCATCAGTGATATAAACCTGGGGAAAAAAAAAAATTCTCCCAAAAAGTCCAACTATTTTTTTTTTTTTTTTTTTTTAATTTCTTTTTGAGAACAGACACAGGTGTGCCTGAAAATTTCAATTTTTAACATTTTTTTCTTATGCTTGTATTCGGTCAAAAAGCCTACTAATATACAAATATTATTAGTTTTATTATCAATATTAAATATTTTGTTGTTTTTTTATGTCTCAGATTTCTTTCATTGGCCTACTATATCTACATATTATAAGAAGCATATGTGAACAATCTATCACACACACACATATATATATCTCTGAAATGACATGCCTAAAGAAGCATAAAAAAGAAAAATTTTTGTATTAAAATTGGAATCAACAACATTTGCATATAAATAGGAGACTTTTGAAAAAGAAAAGATGTAAATTGCTAGAAAACACATATGTAACCTTCTTAACAAAGTTACATAATTACTAAATTGTTTAGGAAAAGCAGTAATTCTTAGGTAATCAGTGAAGTGGCAATATACATATGGAAGTAGATCCGTGATAATTAAAGACATAACCAAAAACAAAAGAATACAAATAACCATTTCAGGTTATCAAATTATAGACACTTCTAGACAAGTAAATAAACATTTAAAGTAAGCAATGGCTACTCAACAAATAAACAGAAAATGATTTTATCAGTTCAAACACACTGACACTTAGTAATTACTTATATTAGGTGATTATATAAGTTCATCAATAAGTTTATAACCTTATTTACACTATTTATATTTGGACTATTGTCCTCATCTTTGTTGTTGTTATCATACTGTTTCAGCCATTGTGTTCTCTGGCCTTCCTCAGGTGTATATTGATCTGGGTAACCTACAGGGAATTCTGAACTGAACCCTTTATTTAATCTATGGGGTAGACTGTTCTCATTCCCTTTATGGGACAATGTCTTATTGGATAAAAGTGTTGGTTTGTGAATTTGGTGAAATAGTGGTTGAAATCTGGGTTGGAACTCGGTGAAATCAGATGAGCAATAACTGAAAAGTAGTAAATAAATATAAGAACTAGATGATATCCATAGACATGAGCAGTCAAATAAAAATGAGAAGTTATTTACAATATTTACATTTGGACTATTATCCTAATTTTTGTTAAAGTTATCATATTTGTGTCTGCTGATATAGGTAACCTTCAGAGAATTTCAAACTTAATTAACCTTCAATCTACAGGAGGTAGATTGTTCTTGTTTTACTGCCTATGTCAAGGGTTATCTCAATTTCATATCAATTTTCTTAGTTTTGTCTGTATTTCTGGGGTGAGAAGTTATTATTTACATATGGACTATTGTCCTTATAATCTGTTGTTATTATTGACCGTAGCTCATCAGTGGTGAATAAACAAGAGTTTCGCTTCAACTGGGTTACAGCAATCAACACTTACCCTCCTTACCCCTGGTGCAGCATTCATCTCTGTAGCTCCATGGTAGAGGTCGCTTGACAATGGTGAATAAACAAGAGCTTCGCGGTGATCAACACAACCTACTTTACCACCAGCAGCCTCCATATATTCTGCAGCTGGCATTTTAGCCATTATGCCCATCAGCCTTAATCAGGTATATGTTATTTGGGTAACCAGAGAATTTCAGTGGAATCAGGGAGAGCAATAAATGGACAGTACTAAAAGATAAGAACTATACAAGATATTCCTAGAAATAGGTAGGCGAATGAGAACATAGATTAAATAAATGGTCCAATTTGAAATTCCTTATGGATGAAGACAATAGTCTGCATGTAAGTAATGTAAAATACCATTTTTCTTGACATTTGGAATTGAAGATGAGAAAGTTTTACAAAAACCAGATTTGAAAGATGAAATGTGACATTTTGACAAACCCAAGATTTTCTTCATTCTTACCCACAACAAAAACATGGCTAAGAAAATGTTTACACTGGAGGTGATTCTGGCCATAAATCCAGTTAAAAGAAAACAATTTTGAGAAGTGGAAGTGATTATGAGTCCAGATCTATATTCCCTCAAGGAAAATAAACATGTGGCATGGAAGCTTGAAAAGTTAAGGGTACTTCAAAATTTTAAGAGGAAACTCCTTTTTCTTCCCCTTAAAAAACTTCTCAGCTCCGAATTAATGAATATAATTTTGATATTAACTCCTCTATATTTTTGTTGCTACACATTCTTCCTTGTGAAGAAAGACCACTAAAAATGAGCTGACTTACTATAGCATTTAAACCAGGGAAAGATTAATTCAGCATTTAGTGAATAAAATCATTTTTTTTTTCTATCAAGTACACTCAGTTTGGTTGTTTCAACCAAATCTACTAAAAGACATCTTGAGATATAAAATGCATGGTAGAAAGGCCAAGTGGCTGAGAGAGACCAAATCAATGAGTTGGATTACAAAATTATTATAACTATAATAATAATAATTATTATTATAACTGTAATAGTTAAATGAAAGAAAAGTAATCAGAAACAGCCTTTTGATATCTTATAGTTTTTATACTTTCAACATGAGATCTAAATTTCATCACTTTTTCAATTCCTTATATAAAAAAAGGACATTTTCTGTGCCTCTCCAACACAAACTTTTCAGTTTCTCTTTATTGCACTGACAGACTTCAATAACTATATTGATATACTTTCTACATAAAGGTTTTCATATTAAAGCCTGATTTTCTGAGGCACTCTGATGATAGACATTTTGTGTGAACAGACAAGATAGAAATAAATAATACTTGTTAAGTTTTAAACCTGACTTCTCATATTCTGCACTGTTCATGGTGGCTCAATAGGGGAAGGACTGCATTGTAAAATTCAATACTGCTAAAACCAAACTAATAATGTTCAAAAACCACCACCACCAAGCAGACCCTGAACTTCCACCTCTCCTGATGGATGGAGGCTCCTTTCTGTGAACATCTATTGGGATTCAAGCTCTCCCCAGACCTCAAGTGAAATATATATGATCTATTGCTAAAGATGCTAAAAAATGGTCAGTTCATTGTATTGCTTCAGTAAGTATCTGACTCCCCCTGCTATATTCTAAGTGACAGATCAGAAGGGGAGTATTGCAGACATATCTGGGTTGGAACTGTACAGCCCTAACTTGCCTGTCTTGACAGAGTACAAAAGTCTCTACACAGCCTTGTGGGTTATTAATTATTTTCCACTTTACGTGTATTCTGACAATCTGTATTCCTTAGTCCCACTAATCATTATCTTTTCTGCATAGTCTCATGAATTTCACTTCTTGCCTTTTCGTACACTCATAAAACATCACACAGTAACCCTCTACCATGAGTGGCTTTTGGGCCTTTTATTGGGTGAACATATATATATATATATATATATATATATATATATATATATATATATACTAGCAGCATGGCCCGGCGTTGCCTGTGCTTGATTCAAAAATTGTACGACTCATACAGCAATCGCTATCACTTGACTTAAAATATTTTTGCCCTTCCTTGCCTTTAAAGGAGTGCCCTTTGCCATGCTGATGTTGCTACATGCCTTACTTCTTGCCTATCTTACACTGCGAATTTTTTCTAAGCTCTATACTAAACATTAAATCTGTTATGAAAAAAGAAATAAACAAAATGAACACAAAATGATCAGCTTTAAAAAAGGACTTGTAACAGGAAAAACTGAATGAAAAAAGAATGTTAACAACAAATACTTTTTCACACCCAACCCAGTTCTGTGCAATCAGAATCAACACCGAGTTTAAGCAAGCAAATGAGCCAATTGGAGTAAAGTGCCATGCAGATTTAAATTTTTCCCACTTGTGACGAATGGAGCTATCAATTTTTTTTGCATGCTAGCATGCTAGTTAACATTCGTGTCAATCAGCTGTTGGCTCTCATGCTGGCCAATAGAATCTTCCTGCCTATTCGTGGCAGCCAACTATTGGCTCTCACTCTGGGCAGTACAAAATGGCTGCAAACTACATGAAAACTGACGATTATTTCCACTATCGATGAAAGTTGGGAAATGCAAGGTTGGTCTTGGTCTTCCTGCTAACTTGGAGCATGTGCATGTAAATTTTGGTGCAAATCCATCAAAAATTGTGGCCGTGCATTTGTTACACACACACACACACACACACACACATCCTGAATTTTTATATATATATATATATATATATATAAAAATGATTATTTAACTGTTTTATTTGTTACTATTAACACTATTCAATATAAAGTCAAAGCATTATATTCCACTAGTTATAATTTAGTATACTTATTGTACCCAGTACCATGAAAATGGATTGGTCAGGTTCATATATTAATGAGCATTTTTCTGGGACATTTTAAAATTGTTTTCCCTGAAGAGTAGTTTTGTTTCCTCTACTTGAGGGAATGCAAAGCTGAAGGACTTTTTCATCATAAGGTACTCATCTACATATGTATGTACAAATAAATTCTAAGTTTGCAGAGTTTGTATAAACAGTTTTACTTGGCTTTCTTGTTACAATATTTTCATCAATGTTCATGAAATATCCCATATTCTCCTAGCATCAGTTTAAGTGGACACCTTTTTTTCATATATCTAAAGTATAATTTTTGAAAGTGAAAATTCCACTGAAATCTGAAATTTTCAAAGTTTTCATTTGAAAACAAGAAACTATGAACTGGTCACAATATATAAAGAAAAGGTGGTATCAGTTTAGGCTAACACCAAGAGAACTTAGATTAAATGATCAGTAGTCTTATTGTTGTAACTATAAATAATTTGATAATAATTAGAAAAAAAATAAAACAAAAAGTCAAGTATTCCTTTGCTAAAGGGCAATGAAACAAATTGAAGATTGCAAAAGGATTTAAAGTATAAATTTTCTGATAAGTGTTTTTTGGATGATGAAAATTGAATTACAGGCAAACAACTTACCAATTTCTTGTGTGGTGCCTCGGCAATTTGTTCGAGCATCATGGCCTAATTTTTCTAGTGCTTCTTTATACGTCTTTGCTGCAGAAGATGCACCTAAGTAAAGAAATTATTTCAAAATCAGTTTAACAAATAATTTACAATAAAGTAAATGATATAAATTCTTTGCACCAGTTTTACTGTTGATTGATGTTAACTAAAACATTCCAAATATCAGTCATTTTTGAGAGAAATCATTTTTGTAATTTGAACAATTTCAAAAATCACAAAGAAATAATTATCTAATTAATAGATACATATAATATCTTAATAGGTTTAAGAGATGATTTTAATAAAATTTCAAGTAAAAGCAGTAATGGCTGTTCACACAATGAATGCCAAATATTTCCTTGAAGGGAAATGGCTAATACTACCATTACTATTATAATAAAACACAAAATAGCATTTCAGATAATTAGAAAAAATAAATAAAATTTTTTTATGTATCAAAATCCAAGTTATTAAATAGTTTTATTTTCAATGTAATGGAAGATCTTGACAAAGAAGAAAGGATGAGTTCTTCAGATCAGGATAATATAATCGGCGAGCCTATGGATGATTGTGGGAGTGACTTGGACATGGAAGAAGATGGAATGAGACCAAAATTTCCATTAAAAAGAACAGGACATAAACCTCAAGGGAAAGAGGAGGAAAGATGTTGTAGAATGTTGGTTCCAATGTGCAAGGAATTTGTATTTGTTATATAGATAACAATTGTAATACAAAGCCAAAGGGGAAGTAGGTTGGTCAACATTAACTATCCTAAACCTAGTTAATCAGATTCCCATCCCATTCATTGATTACAATTTACTCATTCACAAGAACTCATATATCACCATTTGATCAAAAATACCAAAATACCATATATTCAAAGAGAACCTACAAAAATATCCATGACATAAAAATTTCAATCTGCTAGGAATGATTGCAAAATACTTTCCCTTCAGCAATTTATAGACAGAAGCACACAAATGCATGCTGGGATTTCTTTCTAGCCTATGAAATAGGCCACTTATTGGTGTCATCTGACTCCAACTTTCTTGCCTTGAAATCAGAACACTATATTTGTTTATTTGAATTTTATCTTGTGTTCACCCCAATTCTTAGTCTGTGCACTTTTTGCCATATTACTGTTAATTTGCCTTGCATATATTGTTTGCTTGCTTTATTTATTTATTTTTTGCCCTGTTCTTATCTTTTTCTTGTAAACTTTTATATTTAACCATGGCCACTCAAGAACAACCAACGACATTAAACCTCTTCAATTCTGGAAGATGTAGTGCATTGCTATTTACATTATTTACATTGTTCGGACTGTTGTCCTCATCTTTATTGCCATATTCATGATGTTTTGGCTCCAGCCTTCTTTGAATTTCATCTACTTGCCATGCATCTCAGTTTTCTCCCTTTAACTTTATAGGCAGAAGCCCACAAATTCATGCCGGGATTTCTTTCTGGTTTTGTTCACCACTGCAGTAGCTAGGTATTGAACTCTCAACTCTTTGGGTAAAGTCACTGGATCCAAACATTGCTTTTATTCACTGGGCCATGTGTCCTTGTGTATGAATTTTTTGGCACTTATAAACTTAATGTCTCAGTAACCATTTTTTACCAGAGCTCATATTGCAATTTTTGTTGTTATTACTTTTCTCTAGTACTCCATATTACTGGTTCCCATACTGTATAAAAGTGTTGGTTGGATCCAGTGACTTCACCTAAATAGTTGTGAGTTCAATACCTGGCTGCTGAGGTGGTAAACAAAAACAGGGAATTGAGTTAAAGGGAGATAACTGAGACATCCAGAAGAGGCATGGCACAAAGAACTAGAACAGTCTACCCCAATGGACAAAAAGTGTTCAGTTCAAAATTCCAATCATCTGAAGAAGGCTAGAGCGTACACTGGCCAAAACATTATGAATATGGCAATAAAGATGAGGACAACAGTCTGAACAATGTAAATAATTACAATACCTCATCTTAGAAATATAGACAGATATTGAAGGATTTACCTATTTGTACAAGTAGAACAGTAAGTGTATTGAAAAGTAAGAGACAGTAAGTTGACTACTGATGATATGACATTGAACAACACAACGTATACAAAATCCAAATTCATATACATACACTGTTTGAAAGGCAAAAAAAATCTTAGAAATGATTTGCATATTCGACATTAAATTTCAAGTATAAAAAAGATCATCATACTTGTTATAAAACTCAGATTGTGTGTGTGTGTATGTGTGTGTGTGTGTGTGTGTGTGTGTGTGTGTGTTCGTTAAAATATTGGATTGGATTTCCTACATTTTTCAACATAACTTCACAGGACTACATAAAATTACCTCGTGGTGGTTCTGACAGCGCCAAAAATTGGAAAAACACAATTGTTTTTGCATGAAATCAATTTGAAAACACTATTAAGAGGCATCGCTGCTGAGAAGGAAAGTGGGACAACTCATATCGAGTTATACTTATTATAAAACCCAGGTTGTTTGTTTGTGTGTGTGTGTCTGTTTATATATGGGATCGGATTTCCTACATTTTTCAACCAATTTCAACAAAACTTCACAGGACTACGTAAAATTACCTTGCAGTGGTTCTGACAGCTGACAGTTTTTTTTGGCAGGTAGTGTTTCTTATTGTCTTGCACACTTTTTTCTTTATTTTTACATTCAGAATGCTTTAAAAATTCCATTTACAAAACAATTGTTTATAATAAAATTCTATTCAATTGGTAGACTCATAACAATTGAAAACAATGTTTTTGTTTCAGTTTGACCAATTCGAAAAAAAAAAAAAAAAAAAAAACTAATTAAGACATGCGTGTCCTTAAACAATAATCTTTGTCAATTTTATTTTTCAGTCTTTATGATGGTCGATACTTGATCTATCTCTTACTGTTACATCCCCGGGCAATGCCGGGCTCTACTGCTAGTATAGGATATAAAACTCAAACTTGACAAAATGAATGGGAAAATATGAAGAGAACTGAAGAGAACAGATGTATATTATTACCTCTTCTCCCCATTATAAAAAGTTAGCTTGAAGTTTTCAGATTTGATATTTTCATTGTTTATATGTTGGTTGGTTAGATTTTGTTTAACAAAACCTGACAACCCTGACATTTTACACCAACCAGGTGAATACATATACATATATATTTTTCTTTTTCTCCTCAATAGTTGTAGGGGCTCAGTTTGGTAAATACAATTTAATTTATAAGAAGTTTTTAATGAACATTAAAATTCTGCCCTTTATTTCTATGTTGTTTACATCTTTCAGAATACGACACTTTCAGGTAGCATATGTTTTTTTTTTAGGTAAAAAAAATACTGATATTACATGATGTCTTCAAACAAAGCCGTTTTGGTGCTTTTGTTATGTCTGGATCCACTTTGATATTTGAATACAATGTTATGTTTTTCTAGAAACCATTTTAACCGTGCATTTCCATGGTTTTGCAAAGATACGAAAGATAGGGCAAAAATTATTTAGATTCAAGGCATCCTTACCCTGTTTAAGAATTGGGATAATTACAGCTTCCTGCCATTCTTTAGGAAAAGTTCCCTGTGTGCCATATGATATATCCAACAATGCTAAAATGAATGTCTCTGGTAGAGATTTCCAAAATTGATAATGTACATAATCTGGGCCAGTAGTAGTGCCATGTGGATTACTAAACTTGTGAAACAGATCAGTGGGTTTTGGTCCTTTGGTTATGTTACTGGTAATTAAGTATTGACAAAAGTCTGTGAATGCCTAATTTATAGATTTGCCATTTAGGGATTCTCTCTTCTGGTAAAGGTGGAGTCAATGAAAATAGGAAAGTGGTCACTCTCATATTGATCTTCATTATCTCTCTGTTGGAAATCAATGAAGGTTGAGGGTAGGGAGAGCAAATTGATAGATCTATAGCTGACACAAAACCAGAATATGGATGGAGCTAAGTGTAAAATTTGTCATTCAATAAACATAAATCAAGTTTGTATTAGGTTTTCAATGATATGGCCAATGAGGTTGGAGTTTATGCAAACTTTGGTTTGCTATGGCCATTAAATTCTCGAACCAATAAAAAAGTGAGTAATTGGCCAATTAGCCTATTAATTTCAGTTCATTTAAATTTATATTTAGGATATATTTATATTGAGTATATATGGTTAATGCATGATGAGTGGTTTTAATAGCTATGGCTTGTAAGTTTGTGTTTAAGTATAGTATCTTGTGTGGAGTTGTACCTTTTATCTCACTTTTGAGATTTTTTGGTAGGTTAATCTGGAATGCTCTGTTCCATTTTCTCTACACTGGGATTTTGAAGCATCTGTTTTTGTGGCATCAAACTCTTTGGCAGTTGAAATATCTGAGTGGCCGGAGGATGTAGGATGCATATTTTTAACTTAATAGAGCATCAAATTTTTATTTCAGATGAAGGTTTAGTGATATTAAATGTTTTTTGTTTTTTTTAAGTTTAATTGTTGTTCTTTTGATCTGACGTTCCTTTGAATCAGCAGCAGTTTTGTTCTTGCTTGCTGTTTGGACACTTTTGAAACTTTTTGACAGGTTAGTCTGAAATGATCCATTCTATTCCCTCCACATTTTTTTTTTTTTTATTTGTTTTCTCAGGTTTGTCTAGGAAGCATGGACTAAGGTCAGAACTTTTGATTACTCCCCTGGGTGACTTTAAAGTTTGGTAAGAATAGGCTTTGATCTTTAATTTATCAAAAGTTGTCCATACATATTTGCATTTATTGGTAATATTGTACAATTTGCTAATTTTTTGACAGATGTACAAGTTATACTGGGCAATATAATTTTTTTCCATTAGAAATGGTGATAATTTAGTAATAGGAGTTTTATTAAGCTCTGTTTCACTGTCTGAGCTTAATTCTAGATGGGATCTTTTAATTTTTGATACCATCTGATTTAAAGTTTCATTATTCCTGCTTGCCATCAGCCCTGTAGCCCTTAGAAGGAAGACGTTTGGGGGGGGGGGCATGTGCTCAAATATTCCTAGGATGCAGGAATGGTATGCTCATTAACGAATTATTGCAAACATCTAGTAG